TCTACCTTGACAAAGAGCAGCTTCGGTGAAGTGATGCGGTTGAAAACCTGATCAGGAAAGGAAGAGTGAAATGAGCAAGTATGGATAATTCTTTGGCAGAATTTTTCAATAAAAAAAGGGAAATAAGGTAGTAGCCAGAAGTGAATATGACATCAAGGAGTTTGGTTTTTTTAAATTATTATTTATTATTTATTTATTTATTTTTGAGACAGAGTCTCACTCTGTTGCCCAGGCTAGAGTGCCGTGGCGTCAGCCTAACTCACAGCAACCTCAAACTCCTGGGCTCAAGCAATCCTGCTGCCTCAGCCTCCCGAGTAGCTGGGACTACAGGCATGCACCACCATGCCCGGATAATTTTTTCTACATATATATTAGTTGGCCAATTAATTTCTTTCTATTTATAGTAGAGACAAGGTCTCGCTCAGGCTGGTTTCGAACTCCTGACCTTGAGCAATCCGTCCCCCTCGGCCTCCCAGAGTGCTAGGATTACAGGCGTGAGCCACCATGCCTGGTCGTTTTTTTCTTTTTAATGCGGGAGAGATAACACTATGTTTGTGTGTTGATGAGAATGATACAGTTAAAGAGGGAAAAAATGCTGACACAGAGGAGAGATGGGGCAACACAGGAGGGAAATCCTCAAGTAAACAGAATGGGATGGAATGTGGTGCCCAGGTGAGGAATATGACAGTCCATCTGCAGTGACATAAGGCAGGTGGCTTGTGCATGCTCTAAAAGCAAGCAGATTTGATTTGGTGGCAGGAAGAAGGCAGAGGTTCTTTTTTTTTGAGCAGCACATTTTTTAGAGCAACACTGACACATATGCTAATAAATGATGTCACAAAAGCAAACAATTTATGTGATTAAGACAGGAAAGAAGTGAACAGGAATTCTATAATTTTATTATTCCACAGAGTTCGTTCTTCTTTCTTTCTTTCTTTCTTTCTCTTCTTTCTTCTTTCTTCTTTCTTCTTCCTTCTCCTTCTTCTCTCCTTCCTTCCTCCTTCTTCTTCCTTCCTTCCTTCTTCCTTCCTCCTTCCTTCCTTCTCTCCTTCCTCTTTCTTCTTTCTTTCTTTCTTTCTTCTTCTTTCTTTCTTTCTTTCTTTCTTTCTTTCTTTCTTTCTTTCTTTCTTTCTCTTGCTCTGTTGCCCCGGGTAGAGTCCAATGGCATCAGTCTAGCTCACAGCAACCTCAAACTCCTGGGCTTAAGGGATCCTCCTGCCTTAGCCTCCTGAGTAGCTGGGACTATAGGCATGGGCCACCATGCCGGCTATCTCTCTCCCCTCTTTCTCTCTCTCTTTTCCCCTCCATAAAATAATGACAGTGTGCCATGAACTGAGTGGCAAGATTAATTCAACCCTTGGTACCTAAGGTCCTAAATAAAAAGAACTCGTTATCACTATCTAATCCTTAAAAGCCCTAATTCCCCTGAGCTGATCCAATAACAAGATGTTTACTGTGGCTGTAACTGCTGCTTCTTTTAATGTCTACTAGGACCCTGGAATGTGTAATACTGAATAGTCCTGTGACATCTGGGCAGGAGGTCCCAAGTGAGGAGCTACAGAGCTACAAGGCTTTGTCTTTTGACACTTACCCTTTCAATTTTTCTTTTTAAAGCAAGAGTCAGTTCAGCTCTTCAAATAATTACTGGGCAATGCTTACCAAGTAATAGCAGCCCATGATGCTTACTATGTGCAAAGAACCTATTCTTATTCTTTATGTTATTTAATCATCTCAAGCACTGTATAAATGAGTACTATTGTGTTCCCTGTTTCTATAGTAAGGAACTACAACACAGCTTGCCCAAGGTCATGCTGTTGGTAGTGAAGGGGCCAGGATTCCAACCAGGCGATCTGGCTTGAGTGTGTGTGCTTTAGCCATTGCATCACAGGCCACCCACGTTACAGATAGGGAAATGGGTATCACACAGCTCCTCCTTGCAGCAAGTTCAAGTTTCAGATGGTACAAAGCCTTGGGGACTAATGACAGATAAGAGAATCAAGAGCCAAATGTTCTCAGGAAGCTGAACCGTCAGCCCAAACCGACCAAATAAGACTGACCTAGAAAGAATGTGAAATATGAGCTTTGGTTCCAAAATGAAAAGCATCAATGCAGGATGAGGGACAAGTGAGGTGACCACAAGTCCTCTGAAAAAGATCTGGGTGTTTTGGTGACCACTTGCTCCCCATGAGCCTGGGGAGATGTTACAACTCAAGAGAGAAACGTTGGTCTTAATAGAAAAGGGGGTCCACAGGGTCCAGTGTAAGACAGGTGAATGTCCTCCTGTGCTCTGGCCGGCTTTGAGGACACCTGAGTCCCCTGTCCCAGGAAAACAGTAATATTTTTAGAAGGACATGGACAAACTACAGTCTATTCAGGTATGAAAGTTGGGAAGGGATGAAGAAATGATAATGAAACTAAAGGCCTGTCTTCTTTAATTATTTGACCATGCTATGGAAAAAATATTTATCTTCAGAGGACAGAAAGAACTAAGATCAAAAGGTAAAAGTAATGAAAAGACAGATTTTGGCTCCTCCTTGGCACCACCACCCATCCCACCATGACCCGTGCCCCATCTTCAGGGGCAGCTGACTTCAAGATTGGGGTCTCTATTTGCTCACTTTCCCCTCGTTACATTTTGGAGGCCCCTGCTGAGAGAATACTCAGTACAGCTAAGGGCACAAGGGGTTGGATACAATGGGATGGCAGAATGGCTTTCACTGGAAGTCTTTGAAAATAAGATTGATACTTATCCTCCTGTTTCATGTGGTTCTTGCAGAAGCAGAGTGTCGGTTCCAAATATCTGGGGAGCATCCAGGGACTCTGGAATTTTAATTAGTCATTGCACTGCAACTGTGTTCTTTGGGAGTAGAATGATCAGAGAACTTGAGCCTGGGCTCCAGAGAATTGATGCATGAGTCCCACAGGAAATTCTGACTTCATTAGTGATGGGTGCAGCCTGGACATCAGGGTTTCTGAAAGCTCCCCAGGTGATTCTAATGTACTGCCAAGGTTGAGGACCTCTATCTAGTTCCCCTATCTACCTGATAAGGATGTCATAAGGATACCACAATAGGGATTACATGACTTCACAAATCTTTATTGCCAACAAAAATCCCTCAGAAGAAATTCCATTTTCATTCTCTATTAATATTATCATTATCACTCAACTATGGGTTAATTCTATAGATAAGAATATTTCCCAAAAAAAGAAAAAAGAATATTTCTGGCTGGGCGCAGTGGCTCACGCCTGTAATCCTAGCACTCTGGGAGTCCACGGCAGGCAGATTGCTCAAGGTCAGGAGTTCAAGACCAGTCTGAACAAGAGCGAGATCCCGTCTCTACTAAAAATAGGAAGAAATTAATTGGCCAACTAAAAATATATAGAAAAAATTAGCCGGGCATGGTGGCACATGCCTGTTAGTCCCAGCTACTTGGGAGGCTGAGGCAGAAGGATTGCTTGAGCCCAGGAGTTGGAGGTTGCTGTGAGCTAGGCTTACACCACAGCACTCTAGCCTGGGCAACAAAGTGAGACTCTGTCTCAAAAAAAATAAATAAATAAAATAAAGAATATTTCCAAATGACCACATCTAAGCAGCATTCTAGCCTTATGCCTCAATGCTTTTTTGAAAACTCAAATCTCTTCTTGTTGTTGTTCATTATAGTATCAGCAGATGATATGGATATTTTCCCACTAGAACCCAAGTAAACTGTTTCCCATGAAAGTCAATCTGAATACAATACAATAATTCTGGGTTATGAGTGTGGGAGGCTAGATTGAAATTAATGACCTAGAAATGGAATAAATAAAAAATTCAGCACCAATTAATTCCCAAAGCTCTCCAAAGCACTTTTCCTAATACTTGAAACTTATCACAAGGAAATACATTCCCTTCTGTTGTTTTTTTTTTTTAAGGTTTAAGATGATGCAGTAAAACTTGTTACATTTGCTATTCATAATTTATAACCCCATGGTATTCTTCCGTTTTTAAAAGTGTCTTATGCCTTCATTGATAGGAATTGTCTTTTCCTTAGGAAAAAAAACAACAACATTTTTTTTCAATTTCAAATTTGAAGAAATGATGAATGGCAATAAGTGTGCTAAATCAGCAGTAACGCCAGTTTATTTTTCCATTAATTTCCTTTTTGGGGAGATAAATTTGCAGCTGCTTAAAACCCATTGTCTATCATTCTCTGGGGGTTGTGATTCGGGGAAATTAGACTCTCATGTTTGCCTGGAGAAAGCGCCAGTGTGGAATATTGAATTGGAAGAGATCTTAGAACATCTTCCCTCTGGTGTAGAAGTGCTAACAGGGGGGCTTAGCTACTCCCCGGGAAGGGCAGCTCCATAATTCACGAGAGCACCACAAGTTATAACACTCTTTTTAAGAATCCTAGACACGCAACTTGTTTTTGGTGGTGCAACATGCCCATTTTGTAAACCAAGGCCGGAAGGGCTGAGTTTTCTGAGTCTCGCAGCTTAGACAGGCCGATGTAGTTATATGAGCATGGCCTTCGAAGTCCACAGCCCTGGGTGCAGATCCCAGCTCCGTGACCTCTGCGACCTTGAGCCTCTATTCCCCCGTCTGTAAAGCGAGCATGATAATTCTTCCTTTATAGGATTAGTTCGAAAATTAAATTAAATACAGGTGCTATGTCTTGGCACAGCTCCTGGCATCTGACAGAGCAAGCTCCCAGTACCTGTCGGACAGTTGTTCAACTTCCCCTTTCTTCCTGTCAAAACCCTACCCCTTCACGCCAACCTAGTCCCGATGTCCCCTTCCCTTCTTCATGAGGCGTCTTTACTGCGCCTACACACAGGGCTCACTTTTCTCCTCACATTTTTGGTATTTGTTTATGTTTTGATTTCTAGAATAAATGTGTAATAAATGACTGAATGAACGAACGAGGTTGTTCTAAATCTCTGGGACTAAATCTCTGCCACGTTGCAGGTGTGGCTCGGCCCCCCCAGCCTGACTGTCCCCCATTCTCTCCCTCCACAGAGGCCTTTCTGACTAACCACATGGAAACCATCACCGTGGAGGAAGGCCACACGCTCACTCTAAAGTGTGTCACTTCTCTGAGCAAGGCTGCCTCCCTCCAGTGGCTGACCCCTTCAGGATTCACCATTTTTTTAAATGAGCATGCGGGTAAGTGAAAGACAGAAAAAAAAAAAAAAAAAAATCGCCACCAGACCTCAACCTGAGGGATATTCCAGCCAGCCAGGCCGGTGGGACAGAAAGCCTACATGAGTCACCGAAGGGCAGGCTCCGCCCACTTACTGTTACATGTGAATCACACCTCCGAAGCCTGTTGTGGTACACGGGGCTGCTTTTTAGGGGGCAGGAAGTCTGCAATGGAAACCCCCCCAGCATGGTTGTTAAAGGGGACTCAAATTACAAAGCACATTTCCATGTCCCCACCCCCTCATCACTTTTTGACTCTCAGCGACCATGACACAACCACAGCAAAATGACAGGCAGCCCACTGACTGTGACCCCTCTGTCCTCAGGCAGCCGACACCATCACCCCTCCTCTGGAGCCAGCTGCTTCATTTTCCGTCTGAGCAATCCAAAGTCACATGACAAAGCTCCCTTCCAGAAACCTCTTCTTCTCCTGTTGGTCTTAACGTAAAATCAAGATCTGTAAGCAGCACAAGATGACAGGTTGTGACCTCGGAAATGAGGGCAGTCATTCCTCTCTTCACAAACACACAGGAAATGACTTCAGGATGCCTGAGATGGAAAAGGACTCTTGACACATTGACTGCCACACTAGAAAAAAAATTTTTCCCTGGGGCCATGAAGCTTTATTATGAAAATAGAATTAAAACTTTGAAAACAGAAAATCTTTTCAATTCAATTAAAAATTTTTGCATTTAATTGTTTCTGTGATTCAGTATATGCAACTCATGTGGCACTAGAATCAAGTATTTTTTTTTTTGGACAGAAAGGTCTCACTTCTGTTGCGCAGGCTAGAGTGCCATGGCATCAGCCCAGCTCACAGCAACCTCGAACTCCTGGTCAAACGCATCCTCCTGCCTCAGCCTCCCGAGTAGCTGGACTACAGGCATGTGCCACCACGCCTGGCTAATTTTTTATATATTTTTAGTTGCCAATTAATTTATCTATTTATAGTAGACGGGGTCTCACTCTTGCTCAGGCCGGTTTCATACTGCTGACTTGAGCAATCCGCTGCCTCGTCCAGAGTGCTAGGATTACAGGCGTGAGCCAACCACCCGGCCTAGAATCAGTTTTTACACTGCATGCCACTTCAGTTGTATGTGACTCATGACACACTTATTGAATTTGTTTAGGAGAATTGAGTTTTCATATGCTTCCTGAGGACCCATGCTCAAAACTAGTGTGAGTTAAATACAACTCACATTGGCAGTTAATGTCTTAAAGTTATTTATTTCATCTCTTTGACTTTGGTATGATTTCAAACTTTTTCCTTCATAATGAGATAATTTGATATCTACATTTAATATTCCTAGCTGCCAATAATTGGAAACTCTAAAACAGCAAATTTCATTCTTATTTATAAAAGAGCTCTAAAAATTTTTGATATGCTTTATAAAATCATTACATTAAATATAACATGTTAAATATTAACAATCAATTATTCAAACTTAATCGACTATACATACTAGAATTCCTATAAAGAAGATATTAATTGTTCTGAGAGAAAAAAACTTAGAGATAATTCTGTTAAATAATGCTTTTGTTTTATTTTGCTTTGTTTTTGGTTTTGGTGAACTTGGAGCAGATGGACATTCTGAGATTTCTGCAGCAGAATGGCTTGATCTAGCTTGATAGTCCTCAACCTGGAATGATCTTGCCTTCCAGGGAACATGTGACAATGTCTGGAGATAGTTTGAAAGGGGCACAGTGCTTCTGGCATCTAGTGGGTAAACATCCTACAGTGCACAAGAAATCTCCCACAACAAAGAATTATTGATTCAAATGTTAACAGAGCAGAGGTTGAGAGCTCCTAAATTCTGGTTCATTTAATACCAGTGTCCCAGGATATACAACCATTGTTCCAGATGAGGAACACCTTCCTCGGCCAGCCCTTTAAGATTTAACTATCTCAGGCCTGTTTATGTTATAAATCTTAACAGTAAAAATCAAAGCCAACAAAAACACTAATTTCAGAAGCCTCCAATTTGCTAAGGGAACCTTGACCCCAGATGGAATTCCCAGGCCCATACACTGTTAAGAGGACCACTTGCTATTGGGTGGAACTTTCTGGAACTTTCTGGGGCTTGCTTTTTTGCCATTGGCTAAACATCTGGAAGAACTAAGTCATAATCTGTGAGAAATTTCAAATAATAACAAGACTTTTAATACCAAAAATAAAAAGCACCTATCTGGTACATTTATCAATGCCTTTATTTTCCATTCTACCCATACACTGTGACTGGTTGACTTCAAGTGAATCATATTTCAAAGATGTAAATCACCCTGGGGCATTTTTCATTTAAAAAAAAAATGGTCTAAAATCTTCCTGCAACCAGAACCCTTTGCCAGCATAGCATTCTTAATTTCCTACGAGCACAAATAAACAATTTGTTAATTTTACAGACCTCACTATCAACATATTTTACTTCCTAAACTGACTTTGAGGGGAATCAACTGGGAAAACTAGAATTTGGAAGGCAGTGCAATCGAAGGCATGACATCTTTTCCCTTTAAAGTGCGAAAGTCAAAAGCTATTCCTGTGGGCGATCGATCTGTACTCATCTGATACATTTCCTCATGGCATCTCTATTTCCCTCTTGTGCAGCTTTTAAACATTCCAAATACCAGCTCCTTCATCACTCAGCCAGTCAGCTGTCCATCAGAGTCCCTAACGTGACCCTGCAAGATGAGGGCGTCTACAAGTGCCTGCGTTACAGCAACTCCGTGAGCACCAAGGAAGTCAAAGTGATGGTGCTAGGTAGGTAGCCCAGGAAGTAAATCCGGGATGGGTGCAATATAGTTATGAACACGACGTGACATTTTTAAATCTAACATATTAGTTTAAAAATGTTGCCTCCAACAAGGGGTTTCCTGGGGGCACCTCTGCCTTCTTCCTTTCTTCCTTTCTTCCTTTCTTCCTTTCTTCCTTTCTTCCTTTCTTCCTTTCTTCCTTTCTTCCTTTCTTCCTTTCTTTCTTTCTGTCTCACTAACTCCCACCACCATGGCAGAAAGAAGAGGAATTGTTTTGGCAAGGATGTGAGCAAATCGGCAGTGCAGCTACATCTGTATTCATCCTATCTTAGGATATGCTGTCATGAGGCACTCCTGCATTTACATACATGTTTGCTTCTAATGAGTGTGCAAACCCTTACGGGCAGAGTGTGCTAACTCATCTTTGATTCCCTGGCGCCTGGCACATAGTCACAGCTCCATCAAATTCAATTCTCTTCATTTAGTTTCCCAGAGAGAAACAGTTAGGTGATGCCAAAGCCAAAATTCACAAGTTCACAGTTAATCTAGGGCTTGCTTCTCAAATTGTTCTCTTCTGTTTCCTTTCAATGAAAGATGGCAGAGGCTGGTGCGGTGGCTCACGCTGTAATCCTAGACTTTGGGAGGCGAGGTTGCGGATTGCTCGAGTCAGGGTTCAAAACTAACCTGAGCAAGAGCAGACCCGTCTCTACTAAAACAGAAAGAAATTAATTGGCCAACTATATATATAGTAAAAATGAGCTGGGCATGGGGGCGCATGCCTAATAGCCCAGCTACTCAGGAGGCTGAGGCAAGAGGATCGCTTGAGCCCAGGAGTTTGAGGTTTGCTGTGAGCTAGGCTGGACACCATGGCACCGCTCTAGCCTGGGCAACAAGCGAGACTCTGTTCAAAAAGAAAGGAAGGAAGGAAGGAAGGAAGGAAGGAAGAAGAAGGAAGGAAGGAAAGGAAGGAAGGAGGAAGAAGGAAGGAAGGAAGG